GAGGTCTATAAACACCTGCACATAAAATATGGAGAGGGCAGCATAGTTCAAATACGCACAGTTCAAAACTAGAATAAGTGGATGACAGCTTTAACTGCTTACACTTAAACATTTGTTTGTAAACTGCTGCAATTTCTCCTGCCGTCCTTGGGGCATTAAAATACGAACAACCAGCTGGTAATAATTCTGAAAGAGCATTAGACTCACCACCATTTAACCAGGTCTCAGTCATGCACAAGAAGTCTAATCCCTGGGATGTGAACAAGTCTTTAAGAATAAAAGTTTTATTTCCCAGTGAGCTGGCGTTTACTGCTGCTATCTTGATAGCAACAGGGGCCGGCGAGCTAGCAAGGGTACAAGCCGCTCGTGAAACTTGGCCAAGCGGGTGCAGATTCCAATGACCCACTCCTTTGCGGAGGACGCGCGGAGACGGGATGTGGCGGGACTGGACCCGCTTTGAGCCATCCACAGGGACCAGGCAGGGAGCGATGGGGTCCAAGGAACGCCACGAAGCGAACCGGCAATGAGCAACGTAATCCAACAGGAAAGTCAAAGGAAAGCGTGTCAAAGTAGCCTTTAGCCTAACTAGCCGCCTGCTGTGCTTTCCGTGGCGCGCATGGCAACCTCTGCGCAAGAGTAGAGACAGGACACGGAGCAGGTGAGCCAGGACTCCACTTAGGAATGGGGGCCGATTGCTATTTCGCCTATCCTGCTCAAAGTTCATAACATTGTGGGCAGCCGACCACAAACAGAAGCATTTGACGGTCATATACCAACACAGAATAAACATATCTGGTGACACTGAACAGGAATAACAAAATACAGAATAATGCTGGTCGAGACAGACAGTGGGCCAAACACACTGGCGCCATCTTCTTTCTTAGAACTCTTATAGGCTGCTTTCAAAAAGCTGACAGTAAAACTTGGTGACCCTGACGTGATCTTAATGCGATTTAGATGTGACATAGGCTACGTTCAGACTGCAGGGGTTAATGCTCAATTCCGATTTTTTTGTGAAATCCGATGTTTTTGCGAGGTCGTTCACATTTCCAATTAAATGCGACTTGTCTGTGACTTCAGTGTGAACGGTAAACGGCCCGAAAGTGTCCCGCATGCGCACTGGAGGACACGATGACGTCAACCCCATGCGTCAACAGCAGCGAGCATGCTCTGTGTTTACGGAAGTTGTCCAAATATGGTCGCGAGCATTGAGCACCTGGCGATTTTACAGTTCCGGTTTCCGCCTGCTTCTGCGCAGAATAGTGACGTTTGTCGCTTGTTAATGACGTGTAGGTCGGATGGATGCGCTTTGGCCATTCAGACTGAAGTCGCATGTCAAAAGATCAGATATGTATCGGATTCAGGACCACATATCCAAGTGGCCTGGGTCGCATTTGAAAAATTCGGATCTGTGCCGTTCAGACTGTCATTAAAAGATCGGATACAGGTCACATAGAAGCCAAAAAATCGGATTTGGGTCACTTCAGGCTGCAGTCTGAACGCAGCCTTAGACGCGTTCTTGACATGTCAAGAACATGACTTGTTCTTGACAAACTTTTAGAAGCGGCAGGACCATACAACATCTCCAACAAACTCCTGAAAGGACATTGCAAAAGAACGCGTTCCAAGAAGAAGGTATGACAGCAGCCTTTTTGTTTCAGAATTCAAGTCAATTGGTTTAATGTAAAAAAAAATGTAATTTACTTTTGGGACTTTGTGATATTAATTAAATGATAATTTAAAGAACTATAAATAATTAGTATTGTGTTAGGCTTCACGTAAGAAAGCCAGGGATCATGTTTTTTTACTTTCACGGAGAAGAAAAAAGTTGGTGAAATCTAAAATTAATAGTATGTTTAGGCTTTATATAAGATAAAGCGTAATTAGGAACAAACATTATTAATTAAAAAGTGCCGTGTTTAGGCTTTGCACGAGAGAGAAAAAAACAGGTTTTATAAGAAAATACCCTTCTGTGGTTAAACTTTACACAAAAAAATTAAATGAAGCTTTTAATTAAGTTTATATAAAAAGAATAAAGCAAGTTGAGCATATATATATATATATATATATATATATATATATATATATATATATATATATATATATATATATATATATATATATATATATATATATATATATATATATATATATATATATATATATATATATATATATATATATATATATATATATATATATATATATATATATATATATATATATATATATATATTATATATATATAAAACACAAAAAAAGGAGAGACAAAAAGAGTAGAACTAATTAAAAGCAGTACTGTAAAAGCAAGATCTAAAAATGAGGCAAATGCTATGTCTGGTAGTGTTAGTGATTGCCCAGATTTTTATTGTAAGCACTAAGCCAGTACAATTGTGTTATACTCAGTATAAGTACGAAATCACGTGTCACTGTAAGATTGATTATGGATCAATAGACCAGATTGGGGTGGTATATATCCCCTGCGAAGCAGAGAATATCGATTTAGTAAAATTAACGGCAAAAAAACAAGAAATTGCAAATTACTCTCCTCTCTATGGAGTCCACTGGGAAGTGTGTGAGTCCAAATAAAATCTCAAATTACTGAAATATCCTCCACAATACCTGAATTTGTAACTGTCGAACCTACAAACCCATCAACAATTGAAAAAATAAGTTCTACTGTCACCTTTAAAACTGTAACTGACCTACCCCCACAATCTGTAACACCAAATGCCACATCTGCATGTAACAAGAATTGTTTTTTAACAAATTAACGACTGCCATTAATGGATCAGATATAACAAGGGATAGTCTGTTTGACATCCAATCGATAAGAAATAAGATTAGTTCTCTCATGGAAAAACTTACGTCTACAGTTGGAGCAGGTTATAATCCAAGTAACATGCAGGGTGCACACCTGGAGACTATAACTAAGAAGTTAAAAAGTGAAATAGTGAAAGGGTTGACTGAAATTGCTGGAAATATGACAAGGAATCTATGTCCCTCTAACTATACCTCTAAAATATTAAAAGATCTAAAAGGAGAATATGACACGTTAAAAACTATCTTGGAGAGGAGTTTTGGCTACGCTTTAACTGCCTTTGTTTCTGTCCTTCTGACTTTAGGTAGCACATTAATTATTGCTGTAATTTTGTGCTCATGTTTGCCAAAGTTTATTAAAAACAGAGCGCCTGATCTAGCTAAAATCACGTTATCACACCTTCCTGATTTTACTTCTGTATCTAGTTGGGATGATGAAATAACAGATGGGGACAGTTCAGAAGTTTAATCGGGTCACAATTGGGACATAAAAGGATTAATCAAATAAATAGGAACCTGAAAAACATTAGATTAGACATGTCAAATTTGACCTGTGATATAATTATATTTGGTCCCTGAGATTATATCAAATGTATTGGAGCTGCCCACCGTCTGCGGATAGACTATAGAGATGTTATTCACTGTATTCAAAATGGTGACATTTTGCTTTGGGGTGCACTGGTGTTATGGCTGCCCACTGGTTGGCATAGTTGTAAATGGTAAATTTGTTGTTCGCTGGTGTTTGTTCGACTCTTGTTGGTGTCTGGTTCCCCGTGGGATTGTTCTGCTGTGGTTGGACATTTTGCATGTGCTTTCCTGTCGGTGCGCTCCTTATTGCTGCTTATTGGTGTGGTGCTGGGCCATTCTCGTATATGAATTATGATTTTAATGGTCTTCTAGCGCAGATAAGTACCCTTATTACCAAGAGTTTATTGAAATTCATGTACTAGAGTGGCTTGGTGTCGTGTTGGTGAGCGGTGGTGAGGAGCGTGTATGCGGGGAGATGTCTGTGGGGGTTTGGCTGGTGGCGGGGTGAACTTGTGGGGGTTTGGACAATGGTACACTCTAAGAAATTAAACACTGAAGTTGTTCAAACTGCATTGCATATTTGTTTTGGATTAGTTTGAAAATGTTCTGTTTAAAATATAATTAAGTATGTTTAATTGCATTTAAGGTATAGAGTAACTTTAACCTATGTTGTATTTGCTTGTTTTCCTTAATTCTAACCTAGTATTATTAATTTAATACTGATTAAAATTGCTTGTAGTTTTCATATACGATTTATGGTTTAGATAAACACAATATTGTTGAAAACTCCAAAAACAATATTGTTAATTGGTAAAAGCTTTGAATAGTCTAGAAGCGACATTTTCCACTTTGGATTTAATATTGACATTATTGTTTTGAATTTAGTAATAACCTGTTACAATTAAACTGACAAAGTGTTTCACATTGAAACAACATTCTTGTGTGAAATCAGTTGACGGCACATTTTTGATTAAATCCAACATCTCATTTCTTAAGAGTGTGGGGGCTGGACAGGTGCTGGTAGACCCACATAAATTTGCGGATGTGATTGGATGATAGTTGTTTTGTGTTCAAATTTGAAAACATTCTTGAAACTTATAATCCGTACATTTTTACAGTTGCAAATATTAGATGAAGTCTCTCCTACAGTATTCTCTTATTACATTTATACATTTATGAACTGTTTAAACTGCCATTCCTCATAAATTGCCCATATTTTTATGTATTTTTACTCCACAGATCTAGCACTAGCCCTGCTCTGTGTATTCTGCCTTACTTTATACATGTGTTTTAGAAGTTTTCTGTTGCGTACCACTGGAGTGGACCCAAAAAAGGACTCAAAACAAGGACAAAAATGCAAAAGTAACAGGGTTTATTAACCAGGGTGGACAGGCGGTGGAGAGATGAGGAGCCATCTGCCGGGATGCAGGAGTCTTCAATAGCAGGAACTAGGAGAACAAAAAAAGCAGGTAAATATACAGCAAGCAAGTGAAAAATCAAAAACTGAGCCGTCAGGGAAATCACCATCTGGTAGACGAAACAATCTGGCAGAGTTTGGCAGGAGAGCTGGGCCTTTGTAGCAGGCTTGATTGCAGATGGTGTGCAGGTGCTCCCAGCAGACTCCGCCCACGTCCACACCCAGAAGACTCGGGACAGGCAGGGGAGTGACATTTTCAGTTAACATGGTTCATAACAGAATTTATTTGTCTGAATGTCATCTCTTAATGTTTACCTCCAAAATAAATCCACGTTCTTGTAGCTTCCATTGATCAGATTTAGGTGTTGTGGATTCTAGATTTGGAGGAGCAGACGGGACCAGTGTTTCGGACCTGGTTTAGTCCTAGTTTAGTTCTGGTTTAATCTTGCTTTAGACCTGGTTTAGACCCAATTCTGATGTGGTCAACGTGCAAATGAGAACACAACCGTAGTTTAGTCCTGATTTAGTCCTGGTATAGTTCTGGTTTAGACCTTGTGTGGACCTGTTTTAGACCTGGTTTAGTTCAGGTTTGATCCTGGTCAGGGGATCCGGAGGGGTTCCAGTTTGGGGACAACAGGATCTCATCTCTGCTGTTCGCAGATGATTTTGTCCTGGCGGCTTCATCAAACCAGGACCTTCAACATGCACTGGGGCGGTTTACAGGCAAGTGTGAAGCGACTGGGATGAAGATCAGCTCCTCCAAATCCGAGGTCATGGTTCTCAACTGGTAAAAGGTGGCTTGCCCTCTCCGGGTGGGTGGAGAGTCCTTGCCTCAAGTGGAGGAGTTCAAGTATCTCGGGGTCTTGTTCACGAATGAGGGGAGGATGGAGCATGAGATTGACAGGTGGATCGATGTAGTGTCGGCAGTGATGCGGTCGCTGTATTGGACCGTTGTGGTGAAGAGGGTTGATTTATCGGTCAATGTCTACGTTCCTACCCTCACCTATGGTCATGAGCTTTGGGTAATGACCGAAATGACAAGATCGCGGATACAAGCAGCCGAAATGGACGCCTCCTGGATGCCTCCCTTGGGTGGTGTTCTGGGCACGTCCCACCAGGAGGAGGCCCTGGGGAAGACCCAGGACATGCTTGAGGGACTGATGTCTCTGGGCTGGCCTGGGAACGCCTTCGGATCCCCCCAGAGGAGGGGGTCGTGTGCATGGAAAGGGAAGTCTGGGATAAAGCAGAAGAAAATGGATGGATGGATTCAATTCAATTCAAAAACCGTGTCTGATTTTCATTGGTTATTTTTCTGGAAATTTTTATTAGGCCCGAGCCCCGACAGGGCGTAGGGCCTATTGCTTCCGCTCAGCGGAGCGAATGGGAAGGGACGTGCGCATGTCCGAATGCGACAAGACGACATGCAACTATGTCCACGGTCGCCCCGGCACGAACAGCAGTATCCCAGTAACCCACGCCCAAGGCCTGGCTCATATTTACTACTGCTAAAATGAATGGAAGTCAATGGAAGGCGATGGGTGACCTCGACGAGATGGCGAATGACGAGCGCGTCAGTGCCCGTCACTCACCAATGACCCCACGGTGACGTGGGGAAGGTCGAGAGCTTTCAAAAAATGTATAATATGTTGTTCTCTAAAGTTTTCGGATATATTGTTTTTGCTCGAATTATTATTATTTTATTTTTATTATTTATTCTTCTGCTCTTTAAACCTTATTTGACCCCCTAAACACGTTCAAAAACTCACCAAACTTTGCCCAAAATTCAGAAGTGGCGAAAAATTCGATAAAATATAGGTTTCGTGCACGGGCATAAAAAAATGGCGACACAGCGCCACCTCGAAAAGTCAAAATACATTGCGCCTATGGGAGACGTCCCGACGTCAACTTTGTCGTAGAGCCACGAAATTCGGTACACACATTCGTCATGTCAAGACAAACAAAAAATATTATTATGGCCACGCCCCCTGACAAACCAGAAGGCGGCCATCTTGGATTGAAATTTCAGTCCGCATTTTCGTTCACATTGCATTTGAACGAACTCCTCTGAAGGCGCTTCACCCACAGGGCTGAAAATCACCGTACATCATCTAGACAAGTGGAACATCTAAAGTTAGCTGATTTTTTTTGATAACTGTCACGGTTTACGTGCGGCGAGGCCGCAAATTTCAGTCAAATTTTTGGCTAATTTCAAGGTGACATTATTTGCTCCTGTTCGCACATACTTAGTCCGATCGTGCTGAAATTTGAATCACTGATGTGTGATCTCAGTCTGAATATAATACACTATAAAACATATGAAAAAACACTATAGCGCCCCCTAGCATAGACATGAAAGTCAACATTATCAGATCTGCACCAAATTTAGGAATTACATTCTATGCATAATTACGAGCAAAAAAGTATATTATGGACATGGCGAATTTTTCACTGTTGGCCAGCAGGGGCGCTAAAACTCCTCCCAAAAATAGAAAAAAATATATTACACGCACATGCTTAGTCCGATTGTGCTGAAATTTGAATCACTAATGTGTGATCTCAGTCTGAATATAATACACTATAAAACATATGAAAAGTGAACACTATAGCGCCCCCTACCATAGACATGAAACGTCAACATAATCAGATCTGCACCAAATTTGGGAATTAAATTCTATGCATGATAACGAGCAAAAAATTATATTATGGACATGATACCATTTTCAGTGTTGGCCAGCAGGGGCGCAAAGACTCAAAAATTTGGCGCCTATGGGAGACGTCCCCGTCATCTTTGTCATAGAGCCACGAAATTCGGTACACACATTCGTCATGTCAAGACAAACAAAAAAATGTATTATGGCCACGCCCCCTGACAAACCAGAAGGCGGCCATATTGGATTGAAATTTGAGTCCGCATTTTCGTTCACGTTGCGTTTGAACGAACTCCTCTGAAGACGCTTTACCCACAGGCCTGAAAATCACCGTACATCATCTAGAGAAGTGGAACATCTAAAGTTAGCTGATTTTTTTTGATAACTGTCACGGTTTACGTGCGGCGAAGCTGCAAAATTTGGTCAAAGTTTTGGCGAATTTCAAGGTGACATTATTTGCTCCTGTTCCCACATACTTAGTCCGATCGTGTTGAAATTTGAATCACTAATGTGTGATCTCAGTCTGAATATAATACACTATAAAACATATGAAAAAACACTATAGCGCCCCCTAGCATAGACATGAAACATCAACATTGTCGGATCTGCACCAAATTTGGGAATTAAATTCTATTAATGACTAGAACAAAAAACATATATTGCTGACATGGGAATTTTTCAAGGTTGGCCAGTAGGGGGTGCAAAGAACATCTAAAGGTGCACTATGTCATTTTGCCATTTGCAGGCCCAGAGTTTGCGGACACGGCGTTTACGGTATGGTGTTGGCGGGGCACACTATTTGCGGGCACGGCGTTCGCGGGCGCGGCGTTCGCGGGCGCGGCGGGCGAGGGCCGTTCGACGCCGCTTGCGGCTTTAATTATTATTATTTTTCTCCTAACCAACTCACCCATTTTTCACCCACTAAACAATGACGAAAAGTCCTGAAATTTTGCCATCTGGTAAAACTCGCGCTTCCCTACGTTTTGGCTATTTCCATTTTACAAAAATAAATAAAATGGCTCGTCAGCGCCACCAAACGACTCAAAAATGCATTAGGGAATACGAATGACACAAAAAAAAATTTGCACATACAATCATGAAATTTGACACAGAAGTCGATCATGTCAAGACAAGGAAAAAATATTATTACGCCAACACCGTGTGCTCCACTAGGGGGCAGCAATATTAGCTTAAAATTTGCTAAGCTTTTACGAACTCCTCCGAGGGCGTTCACCCGAACGAGCTCAAATTTGGTCCACATCATCTCAAGACGTAGAACAATAAAAGTTATCCAAATTGTTCACACACGTCTTACGATCTCTGAACAGTGAAGCAACAAAAAATGCACACAATTTTAGACATTTACAAATTGCTCCCATTTGCTCAAAAAAACTCCGATTTCAATGAAATTTGAAACATTTGTTAAACTCTCTGCCCTGAAGCTACTTCATGTGAAAATTATGAATTTGGTGCATTAGCGCCCCCTATAGATTGAAACAAAATTTAATATAGAAAAAAATCTTTAGTTCCCAAATGGTTGCTCAAAAATTTCTGAAATTTTGCACAAAATTCCCTTTTGGCATCCTGATCCAAAAGTCAATGACACCCATGTCATATTTTTTATGGCGTTGCCATAGCGATGGCATAAACTCTCCATTGGTAAAATCTACAAATTCTGGCACAAAACTATGGCCGATTTCACTCAAATTTTAATCATTGATTCACACTCCGACCCTGAACAGATTTATATAAGAAAATCTCAGATGGGCGCTATAGCGCCCCCTAGGGAAATTGCATGGTAGTGCAAACATTTACTTTGTTGTAGACATATAAAATTGGGTACACAGATTCATGACATGGTCTTGATCAAAAAAGTCAATGACGACCCCATGCCATTTCCCATCGTGTTGCCATGGCCACAGGCCAAACATCTGCCCTTGCCAACAGGCCTGACAAAAACTTTGGCGTAGCCAAACCAAATTTGGTACACAGATGCATCATGGGAATAGGAACAAAAAAGTATATTACGCGGTTGCTAGGCAACCAACAGGAAGTCGGCCATATTGGATTGATCGTGCGACCTGTCCTCGTACTTGAACGAACTCGTCCTTGGGCGTTTGACCCAGACAGAATCATTCTGTATCATCTAGACAAGTGGGACATTAAAAGTTGTTAAAAGCTTTTTAAAAGGCCACACGGTGTTGCCGTGGCAACGGTGCAAATTTCAGGTTTGTTTTTGGGGCTCACCGTCAAACTTCAACGAGTGATAATTTGCACAAACTTTGGCCGATTTCACTCAAATTTTAATCGTGGGTTCACACCTCAACCCTGAACAGACTGATGTAAGAAAATACAAAAATGGGTGCAATAGCGCCCCCTGGAAAATTTGTATGTAAAAATAAGGTTTTATTTGTCACAGTTATACAAAATTTGGTATCCACATTTGCGACATGGTCTCGATTAAAAAACTCAATGATGCTCACATCCCATTTACATTGTGTTGCCATGGCAACAAGCCAAATTTGTATCCTTGCCAATGGGACGTCCTTACAAAAACGTTGGCGTAGCCAAACCACATTTGGTAGCCAGATGCATCATGGCAATAAGAACAAAAATTTATATTGTGGACCACGCCCCTTTACAAACCGGAGTCCGCCATCTTGGATTTTTTTTTTTTTTTGGCCAAATTGCAGAAAATTGCAGAAAATTAAATAAAGATTTTTAGGGCTAGGGTTGGGGCTATGGTTAGGATTATGATTAGGGTAAGGTTTAAGTTTAGGTTATTAGGGTCAGTGTGAGGCGCGGCGTTTGCGGGGTGCGATGATGGCAGGGCGCAGCGATTGCGGGGCGCGACGTTTGCGGGCGCGGCGTTTGCGGGGCGCGGCGTTTGCGGGGCGCGGCGTTTGCGGGGCGCGCCGTTCGGGGCGCGGCGTAAGCGCGCGCGAGGGCCGATCATCGCCGCTTGCGGCTATATTTTATTATTGCTTTTCTCAGTTTCAAGTTATTTCAGTGACCATTGTTGATTTTTCTTTCCTTACTAGACGGGTACGAACAATTTTGTCTACGCCTGAATATAAAGTTTGCACATGTATGAGTAGAGTAGAAATAGGTGAATAGATCTGAGTTTTGAAAATAGGAAAAAATATTAATCAATGTGAGATTTTGGAATGGCGAACGCCACCTAATTTTTAAGGTGACCAGAGGGTTAAGCCATTTACATATACAAACAATCAGGTAGTCTTAACTTAACCTTTGAATTCATTGATTACTTTATATTTTAACTTTTAATAAATGTTGGTATTTTCCACTCTCCCTGTGCCCAGGGTGATGGTGACCAGTGTGCTGGCGGACAGACACCCAGGAGAGCTGCATATGTTTCGGAACTACGACCCACCCTCTCTGCCTAAAGAAGCCCCATATGCCACCACAGCCACCTTCCAGCCCCTGACAATCCCCCAGGGTGAGCCCAAACATCTGCCTCCTCCAAGCTCCTCAATGCAACCCACATAAACTCATGTCTTGGATTTAGACTGTTTATTCACTTATGACAGGTTTAGATTGATTTAGATTTTTAAAGGTTCACTATGGAACTTTTATGCGACATATACTGGTCTCAGTGGAGATATTTTGTCTGAAGTGTTTCATAATATACAATTAAATGTACAGATCTTACATTTATGGAGCTCAGCTGTGGTCGCCCACTCTCTTATATTGCCCATTCATCTTTCTCATAGACTTTCTGGAAAAGAAAAAAAAATAAATTAAATAAAATTAAGAATTTAAATAAATAAAAGTTTGAAAGCTCTGGTCTAATCATCGCTGTGATAACTGTTATGTTCTTGATATGACACTTAGTTAAGTTTTGGCACTTTGATTTTCCTCTTCAGATGGTGAAAACTGTAACATATAACAACATTGCCCTTAGAATCTGAGCCGAATGTAACACAAAAACAAAGTACATTCATCATATGTAAAGTTTTACTTCAATTAATAATACAAAAATATAAATGCTTAGGAACTAAGCATTAATGCATTAAGTAACTCACGGCATTGCCTGCATTGACACCTGCTTGTAAGATCCCACATGCAGCCTGTCTACCATGGAAACCAGAAATTGTCAAACCAGAAGTGAAGCTGCAAAACCAGAAGTGCCCCCATTCCTCTAGTTTTTCTTATTTTAAACCACAAATACAATGAAATACCTAAAAAAAAAAAAAAAAAAAACTCTAAACGACCATGGAAACCATCTGACATTTTTTATAAATTTTTAAACATGAAATTAAGTAACTTATTTATTAAAAGAACAATTGCCTTAAAGAGATAGTTTTGTTTTTTTTACATGAATCTGTATGGCATCTCCGTCAGCAGTGTCGTGCATCCACACTGACTTATCCCCGACAGCGTCCGGTGAGCCGAGATACTGGCCGGTTTTGGTACTGACGAAAGTAGTCCGACAAGTTGGCTGGGGACATTAAAATAAAGCGTTTTTCTTCTCAAAACAATATGTGTTCAAAAGAGTGATACATTTGCACCACAAAACCTTTGTCCTCAAAAAAGTCAGACCTCATAATCACTTGGCACTATTTTCTCTCCATTCATATGACTGCACGCTGCCGCCAGGTGACAGCCACGTCTGTTTCACTGTGTTTACTGCTCAGAATGTTAGCGACAACATGTCTGATTACGACACAGACGATGAAGCCAAGAGGATATCTTTATGAACTTGAATATACTGATGCCGAAATAACCCAGATGGAGTTAGAACGGGCAGAGAGAGAGAGAGAGAGAGGAGGGACAGAGAAGTGGTACAAGTTAAAGGTGGAGCCACAGCTGGAGCCGTGAGTGACCGCATGAGTGACAGTCACCCATCATGTCATTTAGAAACTCGTATACAGCTGACATAGAGCCTACACTGTGACTGGAAACATGGACTACTAATAGAAACATGGAATCTTCCACACGTCCATGTAGCTGCTGCCAATAGTGTAAGCGACATTTACAATAGTAATAACAGTCGACTTATAAAGTTATGTTTTATAGAAGCTTCACTGGTGATATGACACTGAGTGATTTGCTGCTGATTCTTGATCACCTGTCCGCATGTATAGATAGTGGCACCTCTTTGTTCTTACCTGGGGTGCAGGTACAGCAGTGCTCTTCAAAACAGATTTCTTCCTTTGTTCTGGGCATGAAGGAATATATCTTCATCACTGAATTGCTCACTGCACACACAACACTTTTTTATCCACATTGAAGCCTAAAGCAAGAAGCCAAAGTTTCCTCAGAGCAATGTCCGTGATAGGAAAATGGTGAAATGTGTGCGGAGATTCAGCCAGATTTTTGTTGTTACAGCCTGGATAATCACAAGTCTACACCATTTTTTGATATGTTCTTACATAGCTTATACAAGCTTATATACTTATGGCTCTAGCTCTCACATTAGCTCTCTGACGTCGCGGCGGTCTGAGCACGTGAACACTGCCAAACAACTGAAGAAAGTGATGGATCCGTGTGCGGCTGTCACCTGGCGACAGCGCGCAGTGATACAAACAGAGAGAAAATAGTGCCAAGCTATTATGATGTCTGACTTTTTTGAGGACAAAGGTTTTGTGATGCAAATGTATCACTCTTTTGAACACATATTACTTTGAGAAGAAAAACGCTTTCTTTTAATGTCCCCAGCCAACTTGCCGGACCACATTCGTCAGCACCAAAACTGACCAGTATCAGTTCACCAGACGCTGTTGGGGAGAAGTCAGTGTGGATGCACGACACTGCTGACGAGGATGCCATACAGATTCATGTCCAAAAACCCGAACTATCCCTTTAAGGGCAACACAATAACTAACAACACAACCGACAAGACCTACCATTTTGTTTAAAGTCTGTTTCTGAAACTATATTAACTACAAAATTATTAAAACATTTTGTGAATATTGCATTTTAAATGTGCTTTTTGGGCTTAAAACGCTTTGGATGGATATTAGATACCACATTGCTAGTTAGCCTCCACGATGCCTTAATATTTGAATTTTTCAAAAAGCCTAAAATCGGCAGAAACCTCCGGAACCATAGTGGACTTCAAAATAAGCGGGACTGTTGAGCATTATTAAATTACGGTGTGTTTTGGCTCAGTATACAACATGGTTGCTAGGTAATAATTATGACATTTGCTTGTGTGATGTCACGATTTCAGGAAGTAAAATTTTTAGCAAACTAGTGATTCATATCTGCTGTCCATGCTCAACCACGAGGTAAAATTATACTCACTAACTGAAAATCTTAAATATAATTATGTTAACTTTATTTTAGTAAAAGTAATAGTTGAACCTGTCAAATACACTTTAACTGTTCTGTCTTTATAATTTTTATGAGCCATCACTGAGGCTTATTACCATGCTGTGTAGAGTTTGATGGTCCTTCTCTGAGGTATGTCTGTGTTCCAGGATGGGAGGATGAGGATGTGTTGATAATAGGATATACAAAGGAACCGCCCACAAAGCGTAGGAAGGTGGCCGATCAGGGTGTGTGAGTTTACTAAGAGAAAGAGCCAAAAAGTTTACTCCATGTGAAATTTTTGAGCTTTTTCTATCACAAGTTCCTTCCTTACAAATGCTTACCTCCAGTTTTGTATTATTCTAATGTTAAATTCAGTTTTAATTATTTTAATTCAGCTAAGTCCACCTTCCTACTGACCATTCTGTAGACATTCATAATCATGCCTGATTATTATTATACTTTTTTTTTAAATACACATATTTTTATTACCTGTTAACACACATACAATTTTTTTTCTATAGCCGCGTCCTTGCTCTTGCATGTGTCCTGCTAATGACACTACTGCACAGCATGTTTGTCAAATTGTAGTGGATTATTCTGTATCCTTCTTGTATCTATTGTGGGCTTAACATTGGATAGAATGAATCTACTAACCATAAGAAAGGTTAAAATAGTGCCTGGGATAGATCACTAGATTAGTTAGGCATGGATGACTTTTTAGACATGTTTTATGTATAATGGGACATTGTAACATGGCAGAAGGTTCCAGAGTAGTCGTAGTAGTAGATTTTGCATAATACACCCTCTTATATAGGTATAGAGTGAATGAATAATACTCTGTAAAGCGTCTTTGTGACAAAATGTCTGTGAAAAGCTCTATATAAATAAAGACTTACTTACTTACTTACTCTTTAAACCCAAAAAGGCTCTCTATGATATCATGTTTCCTTAGTATATGGCAACTAAAGTTACACCCGAGGGCTAGGCCATATATATATGTATCATATATCACAGAGGTTTTCAGTAGGTGAGGGGGGGCGCCAAAGAGCCACTGGGAGCCACGACACACACGTGAAGAAAAAATAATGGTCCACATCTGTACACATCTGCAACAGTATTGAAATCGTAATTGTGTGTGCTTGTATGAGCTGTAAAATTATATCGCAACAAAAACCAAGACTAAACCAGGACTAAAACCAGGTCTAAAATCAGGTCTAAAATCAGAACTAAAACAACTATAACCAGGTCAAAACCAGGACTAAAATCAGGACAAAACCAGAATTTAGAAAGGAAGGATGTAAGGACGGAAGGGAGGAAGGAAGGAAAGAGGTAAGGAAGGAAGGAAGGAAAGAAGGAAAGGAAGTGAGGAAGGAAGGAAAGAAGAAAATAAAGAAATAAGGAACGAAGGAGTAAAGTTAGGAAGGAAGGATTGACAGAAGGAAGGAAGGAAAGACAGAAGGAGGTAAGGAAGGGAGGAAGGAAGGAAAGGGGGTAAGGAAGGAAGTAAATTAGGAAGGAAATAAGGGAGGAAGGAAGTAATTAAGGAAGGAAGGAAGAAAAGGAAGTGAGGAAGGAAGGAGGTAAGGAAGGAAATAAAGAAATAAGGAAGGAAGGAGGTAGGTAAGTAAGGAAATAAGGATGGAAGAAAGGAAGCAAGTAAAGAAGGAGGTAAGGAATGAATGAGTTAAGGAAGGGAAAATGGAAGGAAATAATGAAGGATGAAAGGAAATAAGGTAAGTGAGGAAGGAAGGAGATAAAGAAATATGGAAGGAAGGAAATAAGGAAGGCAGGAAGAAAGTAAGTGAGGAAGGAGGTAAGGAAGGAAGGGAGGACGTATGGAAGGAAGGAACAAAGTTAGGAAGGAATGAGGTATGGAAGGAAGGGAGGACGTATGAAAGAAAAGATGGAAGGAAGGAAGCAAAGCAGTAAAGAAGGAAGGAGGTACAGAAGGAAAGAGGGAAGGAAGGAAGTACATATGGAAGGAAGGAAGTGAGGAAGGATCCTTCCTTCCTCACTTCCTATGTATGGAAGGAAGGAAATAAGGAGGTAAGGAAGGAAGCAAGTAAAAAAATGAAGGAAGGAGGTAAGGAAGGAAGCAAGGAAGGAAGTAAGCAAGTATGGAAGGAAGGAAGGAAGGAAGAAAGGAAGTAGTAGTAGTAGTAGTAGTAGTAGTAGTAGTAGTAGTGATTTAACCAGGACTAAACAATGCGGCGTGGGGGGCTCTTCTGTCTTTAAGGGGAGGCTCACATTCACCCAGTTTGAAAACCCTTGGTATACTCGGTGCAGTTTTGAGTACTGCAGTATCATTTTCAGGCGCAGCGTCTCTCGGCTCAGATCTGACATATAGAGCATCTTGAACATAGGCTCTTGAGATGCTAAAAAGGACATAAGTGAAACTCTTCTTCTAAAATGCATAAATCTATCCATATATCGTCACAGCATAATCATCTTAAAGCCTACACAATCTTCTATTATATAGTTATTGCAAATGTTTTCATTTATATTGTGATAAAGAAATATTAGGCCATATTGCCCTGCCCTAACCGCCATGTTTAAACCACGAGCAAAGGCATAGTGTTTTAGATAAGGAAGAGGATGTATTTGTACTTTGTTGTAGTAGTAGAGTAGTAGTAGTAACACTGTGTCTTGTTGTCATCAGAACAGCTGGTGTGGAGAGCGGCGCGGTCAAGTGGTGCCGCCCCCACGTATTTTCGACCAATGGGGCGCTTTCTGGATGGAGGGCTGTTGGCCAATAACCCCACACTGGATGCCCTGGCAGAAATCCATCAGTACAATAAGTCCCTGAAGACTGCTGTAAGTAAGCAAGTACCCCATCTATGGCACATGGAAGGATGCAGCTAACACATCTCGAAGGCTTAAAAGCCCCGTCACAAACATACTCGGAGTTTAGTTTTTTTTCATTCACACATGAAGTGTTGTGTGTTAAACACATGCTCTGCATAAACAAAAGAACATAACAAGTTTACCAAACTCTCTATCTCACTCCAAATCACTAAATTCATTCAATTCTTCATCCTCGGTGTCACTTCTGACCAATCACGTGACCCCCTGAGGTAAACGGTGCGCTGCTTCCTTTCCTGCGTAGCTGTTGTCAGACTCAGCATCAGTTCCAGTTAGAATTATTCGGGCCTTTCTGAATCCTGACACGATGGTTTTGGTGTCACTGAAGTCCAGGTTTTGTCCATCAATCCAGTGACTCTCTCACTCCAAACTTTCTTTCTGCTGCTCAATTACTGTTTTCAGCTGCATATTTCACAACTTGCACTTTGTAATCTGCAAAATATGATTTTCTTTTTGGGGGAATTTGTGTTTAGGCTTCTCAGTTGTCTGTATAAGTTTGTTTAAACTTAAAATTTAAAATTTTCAGTGGTGCAGAAGTAATGGTGCGATCGATTGACATGATACTGACAGGACAGAGGCTCTTTCTGCAAGAGACATGTGCAGTAGAAGTGACAGTGGTATTGGAGTAATAAGAGCAGCAGATACTGGCACACAAGCATAGAGTGCCCTCTCATAGCTGTCAGTGTGAACATTTTAATATAGAAGTTGCACCGGAGTATAAGTCACAGGACCACTCAGACCATGAAAAAAAACTGTGACTTATAGCCTGAAAAATACGGTAATACTGGACCTTTGAAGTGTATATGACAGGTTTTTATGTTTTTCAAATTTTTTGAAAAAAGGTTAAAAAAAATACAACAATAAAAAAAAAAAAATACAGTGTGGTGATTTCTAAAACAGAATCTCTACTTATGTCGTCAACATGGAATATTCCATCTAAAATGCAGGGGCAGTTTATGCATAAGGAATACATTTTTTCTGGCAGTTTAAACATTCATTTGACAAAGGTATTGTCATTTATTTTTATTGTCTAATCAAAACTAATGTGGGATTTAGATAAGTCTGGGACCTTAACATTATGGTTGCTAGGTAGCAGTTCAAGAATTCCACCTTTAAATAAGTGCAGCTGATTGAAAACTGGCTTACAGCAGTTTGAACATGTTGTGTTTGTACGGTCAGGGCGAGGAGGTGAGGAAGTTGGGGCTGGTCGTCTCCCTTGGCACAGGTAAGACTACAAATATATTTTACTGTCCAATTATGAGAATGCTCGAAAATAGAGTTTGGGAATGTGTTGGCTGTGAAGAATACTGGCACACACGCTACTGACAACAGCAACTTGCAACAACATCTTGCAATATGTCTTCTCTGTCATTATAAAGAAACAAAAGTGAATCATTGATTTGGCATACCTTAAAGAAACTGGTGCCATTAGCCAGCCACAAACATGTGATTGTTGTCTATTGAAAGGATCATGAGATTCAATAATGCTGGTTTGTAGAACCAATCCCAAACAAATAATGATTAAGTTCATTGTTTGTGGATTTCTATTTTGAAGATTTCTTTCAAAAAACACTGAATCTCCCATATGGTAGGCCCTTGCCCAGATTAGGAGGTTATCATCAAATTCTACAGCACATCATATTTTAAACTTAGGGCAGTTTAGAATGTATTGATTTAGCAATAGCCTTTGTATTTATGTTATAGAATGTAAAATTGTAAAATTGTACAGTAACTGACGTGATGATGCAATATATTGCTTGTATGGGACTGTGTGCGAGGCAGGTAAGCCTCCTCAGGTGATGGTGAGCTCCGTGGATGTCTTCAGACCCTCCAACCCTCTGGAACTAGCCAAAAGCATTGTTGGAGCCAAGGAGCTAGGCAAGATGGTGGTGGACTGTGTGAGTAGTGCCCCCTGCTGCATGTTCAGCGCAGGCTTTAGAGCGGGCTGGTGACATTTTTGTTTTCAGTGCACAGATTCAGACGGCTGTGCAGTAGACAGGGCCAGAGCCTGGTGTGAGATGACGGACACACTCTACTACAGGTCTGTAATCACTACTGCTAGAGATATTGTAACCACCAACAACAACTAGAAACACTAACCAAAGATACTAATAGAACCTTCCAGTACAATTCCCATTAGCTCCAATGCTGGACCCCAGCCCCTGCACATCGCAAGAAAAACTAAAACCAAGGCATTCTTCATGTATTAGATCAGAGGTGTCAAACTCAAATTCACAGAGGGTCAAAATTAAAAACTGGGGTCAGACTAAATATTTATTTAAAAAAAATGACAACATCTGCATGTAAGTAATAATAACAACATTTTAAATAAATAATGTCTTTATAGCCTATCTGTAGCAGCCAGCGGGCCAACTCTAATACATATTTGATATTATCTTGCGGGCTGGATATAATTATATTGTGAGACAAATTTGGCCCCCGGGCCTGAGTCTGACATGGCTGTATTAGATCTTCCTGAAGAGGGGCCCTCATGGGAAAATAAAAATCAAATGTTTTTCAATAATATGTTTTAAATGATTTAGCTCAGAAAAATAAAGGCTTTTTGAACTAAAGTTCTTACTCCCAGCCACTAATAAGCACCTTCAGTAGTAATGACCACCTATACAAATACATTTCATGAGCATTTTGGATTTTTTTCTTTTTTTGCACTTGATACAACATGATAAAAATGTGTATAGCCCCAAACATAAAGCATCCAATGCGCAGTATATATGTAAGTAGTATAGAATGAGAAAGTAGCTGCATGGCCCGACAATGTCCAGAGCCAAGCCACCCACACCTGTACATATACACATGTGGACAAAATTGTTGGTACCCCCTCTGGTAATGAAAGAAAAATCAACAATGGTCACTGAACTAACTTGAAACTGAGAAATGCAATAATACATTAAAGCCGCTCGTGACCGAAAATGCCCCATGTATGTAATATTTTTTTGCTCGTAGTCATGCATAGAATTTAATCCCTGAATTTGGTGCAAATCCGATAATGTTGACATTTCATGTGTATGCTAGGGGGCGCTATAGTGTTCACTTTTCATATACTTTATAGTAGTAGATCACATCTTCCGGGTTGGAGAGGACGCTGGCGTTGGCTGTTTGCCGTTTCTCCTCCCGCGATTTTCGATTACCTTGTAATGTTAGTTCTCTTGTTGGTCCATTGACATTCCGGCTGCCGGCTGTCTGCTTGGGTTTAGTGCTTTACGGCTGGCATTGGCAGTTGACAAGGCCGGGCAGCCTCCTTCTTGGTCAGCATGGCGTTTAGCTACCGGTATTCCATCTCTCAACCTCGCCGACTCAGGCCTGCAGCCCCCCCGGACCTCATTCCTCCATCCTCAATAAACTCGGACTTCTTCGCCGTCCTCGTTACATCCATAGAGGTTCCAGTCGAAAATTCATCTTCCACATCCAAACAACTGGCTCTGCCACAAACATTCCATCTCTCTGGTCCCATGTCGCACGTCTGACACGTCATCAGAGCACCGTCGTATTCGCTGACATCAAAACGGGAAACACCGCGAGATCTCAGCACTCCAGCACGAGTAACACCGTGAGATCCTCACTCATTAGGCTGGACAGAAGACGAGGAGCGGATTCCAGCCTGCGCGGAGTAGACTTCAAAGTTCTGCGTTCTGTACAACGATTCACCCCACAGGCACTGGTCAAATTCGAACTTTTCAATATACAGTCTATCAACAATAAATCCTCCCTGATTGAAGAACACATCAGGGAGAAAGGATTGGACTTCATGTGTCTTACAGAAACCTGGCACCAGCCAGAGGTTTACTCTGCCCTTAATGAGGCCTGTCCCCCTGGTTACACCTATCTGGAGGCAGCTCGCAGCACTGGTCATCGAGGTGGTGGTCTAGCGGTCATCCACCGACAGGACCTGGAGCTGTCCTCCATCTCGCTGCCTCCAACATCATCCTGTGAGTGCCTTGCATTCAAATGTAAGCCCCCCTTTCCAGTGACTGTTCTCCTGATCTACCGACCCCCCCAAACCCAACTCTGCTTTTATCCCGGAAATGGCTGACCTTCTCTCAACACTCTGCACCACTTCTGCTAATACTATTATTCTGGGAGACATTAATATTCATGTTGATACCCCTTCATGCCAACCTGCTGCAGATTTCCTTCAGCTATTGGACACCTTCAACCTACAGCAGCATGTTGATGTCCCCACACACTCCTGGGGGCACACATTGGACCTGGTCATTTCAAACTCCGCCCTTATCAGTAACCTTCAGGTGTACGACCTTGGTGTTTCTGATCACAAGGTCGTATCCATGGAACTACCCTTTCCTTCCCCCCACTCCAAACCCAAGCGGTAGTTTTTTTTTCGTAATTTAAAAACATCAACGCTGATGCCCTGGCTCTGGACCTACAACACCTCTCCTCTGTTTCCACCCACTTCCCCTCTGTTACTGACTCAGTGGATTTTTACAACCAGTCGCTGAGCAGTCTTCTGGACCTCCACGCCCCCCTAACATCTAGGTCAGTCTCTCTCTCACGCTCAGCACCTTGGTACACCTGTGAGCTGCGCAGAATGAAGACAGCTGGGCGGGTCCTTGAGTGGCAATTTAAGGCCTCTGGACTGACTGTCCACAAACAAGCCTACAGAGAGCACAGGAAGGCATATGCTGAAGTACTGAAGGCCACACGGTCCCAGTACTACTCCACAATTATCAATAACAGCCCGGGTAATTCCCAAAAACTTTTCTCAACTGTAAATCACCTTCTCTTACCCCCTTCACTTTCCCACTCTGAGGCCACTGAGGACAGGTGCAACATGCATATCACCTTTTTTAGACAAAAGGTTGACAGCATCCGTTCACTCCTCCTCTCTACCACTGCTGTCCTGCCCCCCCCCCCCCCCCCACATGCTGACCCACCAACTGCGATTACTCGGACACTCTGCTCCTTTTCCCCCATCTCACAGAAAGAGGTGGAGGGCATCATTGGAAAAATGAGACCATCCACCTGTGCCCTGGACCCCTTCCCCACAGTCCTGCTGAAAACCAACATCTCTTTCATCTCTCCTCTCATCACTAACATCATTAACCACTCCCTCCAGACCGGCTATATCCCATCTGCATTAAAAGCTGCTGTCATCAGACCACTACTGAAGAAACCCACCCTGGATCCAGAAGTCCTGTCCAACTACAGGCCAATCTCTAATCTCCCATTTCTGTCCAAAGTTCTGGAAAAAACAGAAGCAGCACAACTACAGGATCACCTCAAACTCAATAACCTTTTTGACAAGTTTCAGTCTGGGTTTCGCCCTGGCCATAGCACTGAAACAGCTTTGGTCAGGGTCACCAATGATCTCCTGAGAGCAGCAGACTCTGGTTCACCATCCCTACTTATCCTCCTGGATCTTACAGCTGCCTTTGATACGGTTGACCACAATATCCTCCTCCATCGCCTGCAATACACTATTGGACTTTCAGAAAAAGCACTCAAATGGTTCACCTCCTACCTGACCAACCGCACCGAGCACGTTGCCCTAGGAAAGGCAAAGTCACGCACCCACAATGTCACCTGCGGTGTCCCTCAGGGTTCGGTGTTAGGTCCCACCCTCTTCACTCTTTACCTACTCCCCCTGGGCAATCACCAAGCATGGTATATCCTACTATTGCTACGCAGACGACACACAGCTCTATTTACGGACCACCCCCACTTCTTCCACTCCCTTACTATCATCCACACTCAATAGTTCCAAAACAGAAGCCATCTTGGTTGGCACAATTCATCAGCTCCGCTCTTCCACCATCACCAGTATCTCATTCTCTGGTCAAACGATTCCCTTCTCTGCATCTGTCACCAACCTGGGTGTCAAAATGGACTCACAACTCACCTTTGTTACCCACATCAAACATCTCTGTAAGACATCATTGTACCACCTCAGGAACATCGTAAAACTCCGTCCAACTCTCTCCCTGGCAGATGCAGAGAAGCTCGTCCATGCCTTTATCTCCTCCAGGCTGGACTACTGTAACGCACTCCTCATCGGGATACCTGGCAGGAGCATCCAGAGACTGCAATACATCCAGAACTGCACTGCCAGGATCCTGATGAGAGTGCGAAAATTTGACCACATCACCCTCATCCTGAAATCCCTTCACTGGCTCCCTATCACACTCAGGATTGAGTATAAGGTCTCCCTCCTCACTCACTAGTGCATCCACGGTCACTCCCCCCAGTACCTTAAGGAACTCCTCACTCCCCAGACCCCCTTGCGCACCTTCCGCTCTGCAGCCACCAACACTCTCCAACCCCCCAGAACCAAACTTTGCACCATGGGTGATCGGGCCTTTTCCTCTGCAGCTCCAAGGCTTTGGAATGCTCTCCCCGACCACTTGAGAGCCCCACAGTCTATTTCTGTTTTTAAACAAAATCTTAAAACTTGCCTTTTTACTAAAGCCTTTTGTTAATTGTATTTTATTCTTGTTTTATCTTATTAATTCCTGCAATGGTTTTAGCTTGACCCACTGTTTACTGATGCACTTTTTTTACTTATTGTTTTTACCTGTAGCACTTTGAGATTATTTTATGTAAAGTGCAATATAAATAAAATGTATTATTATTATTATTATTATTATAGTGTATTCAGGCTCTGATCAGGCATTAGGGTTAGTGATTCAAATTTCAGCACGATTGGACCAAGCATGTCCATGTAATAATTTTTACAATATTTTTGGGGGAGTCTTTGCACACCTGCTGGTCAACCATGAAAAATGCCTCATGTCCGTAATATATTTTTTGCTCATAAGCATGCATAGAATTTAATCCCTGAATTTGGTACAAATCCAATAATGTTGACGTTTCATGTCTATGCAAGGGGGCGCTATAGAGTTCACTTTTATTAGATTTCATATTTCATTACATTCAGGCCTGGATCACGCAATTGTGATTTGAATTTGAGCTCTCTAGGACAATGCCTGTGGCCGTGACAGGTCACCGAAGACACAGGAAATGAAGGCGTTTTTTGCCGGCGTGCTACGGGCGAACCATAAGGAGTATTCCCCAAAAATTGCAAATTTTTGTGAGTTTATGTCTGTAGATGTGACATGTCAAATCTAAATTCATTTGGACAAAACCCCAGGGACTTGAATTTTTGTAGACACCCAAGTCACAACGGCGGCGAATTATTGATCCAATATGACTGACTTCTTGTTCATCATAGGGCTGCACAATGATTGGCTTTGTTGATTGTCTCCTTGAGTTCTATCACTGTTCCAAATTTCGTGAACCTACAACAAAATATGCGTCTCATTTTAAAATTTGCATTTTCAAGGGGGCGCTGTTGAGTGGGGGTGCTTTGACCATTGTCGCAATGCCAAATTTATCAAATTTTTCGTCAGACCGGTCGATCTCATACCCAGTTTGGAGACTTTTTGTTGACGTTTAGGCCCTCAAATTTGAGATCGTTTGAAGGAAAAAAAATATATATATATATAAAAAAAAAAGAAATTTTATATATATATATTAGGGGTGTCAAATTATCGCGTTAATTGCGATTAATTAATTACAGTCATATTTAGCACGTTATGTTTTTTAATCGCGTTAATCTCATTTTTAATCTCTAACTTTACTGTTTCTGTATGCGAGTTGCTTTATTATAAAAACTCTTTTTATGTGTTGTTTGGACAACAACACACACACACACAAAAAACATTTATAATTTTTTTTATTTCGGTAATTCCACTCCATGGTCGGAAACCCACACAAAACATGCGCCGTAAGAGCGATGTAAACGTCATGTTAACATTCGCGGCGTCAGTCACACAATAGACGAGGCGGAAGAGCCAGTAGAACAGAGGCAGCAGTGCACAGGTAAAAACACATTCGTGTCTTGGAAATTCTTCTCCCGACGTGAAATATAAAAATATATATATATATAAAATCGCCTACAACTTAAATGTCACTGGTGAAAACAACCTGCATAGCCTCATGATGTCTGCACTACTGTCCTATACACAAACACACAACACACACACACAAACAAACACACACCGACCTGCTCCCGTGCGCCGCGTACGTTTTCTCGCGTACGCTGCGTAAACCGCGCTTCCTCCTGTGCGCCTCAAAACCAGAACTAACACCAAGACTAAAACCGGGACTAACCCAGTCCAGGACTAAACCAGGACTAAACCAGGACTAAAACCAGAACTAAAACCAGAACTAAAACCAGATCTAAACCAGGTCTAAACCAGGACTAAACCAGAACTAACGCCAGGACTAAAACCAGAACTAAAACCAGGTCTAAACCAGGTCTAAACCAGGTCTAAACCAGGTCTAAACCAGGACTAAACCAGGACTAAACCAGGACTAAACCAGAACTAACACCAGAACTAACACCAGGACTAAAACCAGGACTAATCCATTCCAGGACTAAACTAGGACTACAGTAGGACTAAAGCAGGTCTAAACCAGGACTAAAACCAGTGATCTCATATATAAAGCATTTCTCTATCAATAATATTTTTAATATGGTTAAGGAAAGACTAGACTTTTTATTGTCTTTAAGTAGACAAAAGTTATTATGTTCAGATTTCCTCGTCTTTGCTACTTTACAGCAAACAGTTTCTTATTCATGGAGACTTGGGCTCAACAGCCAATTTGGAGAGATTTTTTAAACAATAAATGACTTTATAAAGTCACTTTTTTTGTTCTATATCAGTCTTTTGATCTGCCACAATAATGTAATAATGAATTTAAATGAAAATACCTCAAATTGAAGGCTTTTCTCAGCCATTTTTAGGTGAGATTAAAATTAGATTAATTAGATTAATTAATTACAGATCATAATTAATTAATCTCTCAATTTTTTTTAATCGCATGACAGCACTAATATATATATATATATATATATATATATATATATATATATATATATATATATATATATATATATATATATATATATATATATATATATATATATATAAGAAGAAGAAACTGACGAAGAACAATAGCCCTCGCTAGTTACTACGTTACTGGCTCGGGTCAGTAAGTAAAAATTTACTGAAAAATAACCAATGAAAATTAGACACTGTTTTTGAATTGTTGTTCAAGAGAAAAAAAAAAAATTAAATTAACTAATGAAACTGGCCTGGACAAAAATGACGGGACCCCTAGAAAAGATTTCAAGTAATTGGACAATATGTTAAACTTAGGTGTGTCTCTAATCTGCATCACAGGTGTCTTCAAACTTGTCCTCAGTCAGTCTGTCTGTTTAAAGGGGACATGTGTCATTGTGCTGTTTGGAGACATGATGGACACAACACTGAACATATGAATGGAACCAAAGAGCCCAGAACAACCTCCAAACAAATTAAATGTGAAGTGGAAGGGCAAAGTACATCAGTGTCAGATCACACCATCCATCAGTGTTTGAGCCAAAGTAGACTTCATGTGAGGACACCACTGCTGAGAACAAATCATAAAAAAGTGAATATCACACCATCTCCTTGTGTTGTCAATAAAGAGTTATTTTTACTGATGGCTTGCTTAATCTTTATTGAGGCTTGTACAATCTTGAGACTTATAGGATGCCTTTGATGCCAATATCACCAACGCCACAGTCGAACTAAAATAATTAACATAAATTACAATCAGAAAAGGTATAATATAAAAGACATAAAATAAAGACGTGAACAATTACAAAAAACATACCTCGCTGGCTGACCCATATTTTGGAGGTAGAATGACCTTTAACATAACTTTATTCACTTTATTTTAACTTTAATTGACTTCTTTGCCGACACGCCACACTACTGCTTCTTGACCTGGTGTACGTCTCTATTAAGGGGTCCAGCGGAACCGAACAAAACAATAACAGTTCCTACCTGCTGACTACCAAAATAAAAGCACGAAATCTTCTCTTATGTGCATACTACATATTATTCAAGAATTAAATAAAAAGTAAATCAAAATTATGGCAGTAAAAGTGAATTTTGAATTTGGCACAATGTAGATTGACAAACCACAAAGCTTCTGGGAGAATGTTCTTTGGACAGATGAGACAAAACTGGAGCTCACATCAGCTCTCTGTTCACGCAAAAATGAAACACACCAAGAAAAGAACACTGTCCCTACTGTGAAACATGGAGGAGGCTTGGATTTGTTCTGGGGCTGTTTTGCTGCATCTGGCACAGAGTGTCTTGAATCTGCGCAAAGCAGAACAAAACTATCAAGATATTTTGGAAAGAAATGTGCTGCCTCGTGTCAGAAAGCTTGATGTCAGTCGTAGTTCATGGGTCTTCCAACAGGATAATGACCCAAAACATACAACAAAACATTGGACTGTTCTGGAGTGTTCTTCTGTGAGCCCAGATCTCAACTCCATTAAACATTTGTGAAATGGGCTGATGCATGCTGTCTGGAGAAGGAACCCTTTCAAACCTGAGACAGCTAGAGCAGTTTGCTTACAAGAAATGGGTTAAAATACCTGTTGAACAGAGCAGAAGTCTCATTGACAGTTACAGAAATCGTTTGTTTGCAGAGTTTGCCTCAAACCATCATTTTTGTCCAGGCCAGTTTCATTATTTTGTTTTTTGTAATGATTCTGTTTAACTACAGGTGAAAAGTAATGTTTGATTTACATTGGGCGATTTTCAGTACATTTTTATTTATTATTGCTTTTATCAGTTTCAAGTTATTTCAGTGAGAATCGTTGATTTTTCTTTCATTACCAGAGGGGTACCAACAATTTTGTCCACATCTGTATATATATTAATTACAAACCCAGTGCTAAGGTTTGTCTTGTGGCCGTTGGCAGGCTCAGTCCACAGCTGTCCCAGGAGGTGATGCTGGATGAGGTGGGGGACGGGGTGCTAGTGGACATGCTGTGGGACACTCAGATGTACCTGTATGAGAAGAGGGACGTCCTGCAAGTGCTGGCCCAGGAGCTGCTGGACCACTGACCGCTCCACACAACTGACCACACCACACAACTGACCAAAGCCTGTGTGTATCTGACATGACATCTACAACTGACTGAATGCACAATGTAAAAGAGCCTGTTACACTTGAGTTTACGGACCATATATCGCTAACTAAGTGGGCATTGGTATGTTAGTTAGTGGTTATTGCCTATTATTTATTATTTAAGAAACATTTACTAAAGGTGCAGATCTGTTTCTGTGTGAAAAAATGAAGGGGCTATAAAACTATATTACACACTTTTTGGATCTCAGTTTCCTTTTGAAAATATTTATATATTTTTAATGGTTTTGCAGTGGTCCAAAGTTATTCCTGACTTACCTTATGCATTTAGAACATCCTAATTATTCACCACGATGAGTTTATAAGTGCTCTTCGCAAGTTTCACAGACCAGAGTGGAGTTCTTCCATGAAGGTAAAGCTCACAATGACTTGCATTCAAACCACGCACTTCCTGATTATCGTCAGACAATAAAACACTCGTTTTGAGCTGCTTATACACGATATCTGCACTGGGCCAACACAAGGTGGCTCAATAATCAGGATTTTTTGGCTGAAATAAAAAGCACCTGCTTAGTTGGAAAGAAGAAGGAAAAAAAACATTAATAGGCACTTACTACTACTATACACAAACAGAGAGCCCTTATATTACCTTTTTAGCTAGCGATTAGTATGTGGTCCCTAAACTATCCTTTGTTCGAGATAGTTGTGACACATACTGACTAGGGATGTAACAATAACCAAAATATTTTGATATCGTATTGTCAAAGGTTTCACAATAATATTGTGGACTATCACAGTAAATTGAGATCCAAGTCTCTTTGCTTAAATGAATAGTTTTGTTGTGGCAATAGCTAAAAATAACAGAAAGGAAGAAGCCATGAATAAGCCATGACCCTTCGCTCTGTTTCAGGGCAGATTGTATGAAGAAATAAAAGTTACAAGCACTTCTAAATCTTATTTCTTTGGATTAAGTCTTATCAAGACAGTTTAAGAGGAAACAATAGCAATTTCACTATTTTGTTGGCCTTCACAAAATATGCCAATAAATATTGTACAGTGATATTTATATTGTGAAAATATCGAACCGAGAGATTTGGATATTGTTACATCCCTAACAGTCACCAATGTGAAAAATTGAGATGAAGAAATAATTTCTCTATCTGCCATGGTTTGATTTGAGCTGTGACTTTTTCACCTAGATAAGTTAATGTGACTTGAATTAAGGATGTCAAATGCTCTGCAAACTCTTATTGTACTGAAACAACAACAAAAGCACTTTGCACTTGCAATAAGAACCAATTCTGTTGGCTGATTTTTTTTTTTTTGGATGTCAAAGTTAAAGTGGGTAACACAAAAGTGTTCAACTTTAAAAGATCATCTCAATTTAAGTTCCAAGTCATTTTAACTAACAGGGATGTGACTTCATTATTTTGCAGTGCACATTTTCTTTGAACTCAATACTGTCATTCTTAAAATATTGTGAATGTAGTTGTTTTATATGTTTGTTTGTGTTTTGTCTCTAGAAAGGATATGGTTGATTTGCTACTATATGATGTGCAATATATTGATGAACTTACATATGTATTGCCATGTCAGAATATTACCTGTACTGTGCAGCAAACTATGAAGTATCCCTTCGAACAATTGATACTTGGCAGTGACATCATGCTGGAGATGTTCTGCATGTATGTCTACAGTGGAATGTTCAGCAGTTTTCATGGTGACACAATGCACACTTTAGCGAACACTGCCGAGAAAGATTTATGATCACCTGAAAACAAAATAAAAAATACAAAATAGATTTAACACATTTTCTGGAGCCTGTGTTTAATATGAGCATTGTTGTGTTTGGGTGTTTGATTTTGAAAAAAACTATATGCTACCTAACTTGTGACTGTAATGTTATTTAAGAGAAAGAGAGAAATACTTTATTGATTCATTGAGGAAAGTTAAGGTTTTGTTGCAGTAAAACATTGAAATAATGTCAAACAAGAGCTAAATAAATCCACACTGGTCAAAAGTAAAAATGCAATATTGTGTCATTTAAAGTCATGTATGGAAGTGTTTTTTGCAGTGCTGGCGTTTCACTTACTGACTTTGCTGTTCTGATTTTATGGGCTACTTTTTCCACTGTAATGAAGTAGGACATTTCTACCTTTTCAAATTAAATAAGAGTTTTTATTACCTATTAGCAGCATTACCTGTTGTAATGCTGCTACTGTGAAGCCATAATTAACAATGTAAGGATGACTGGTAAACCCAAAGTTCTGATGCACTGTGTTTGTGTAGTTTCTTATAGGGGTCAGCAAGCTATTAATATCTACTTATGTTCAGTTACATTGAATCATATTTTTATTGAAGTAACCGTTCTCTTGAGGAACAGTTTTGCTTCCTCTTTCCACCACCCTGTTCCACAGAGAAGCCCTGGATTTAAGAGTTACTCAGGGTTAACTCAGGGTTGACCTGTGTCACTAAACAGTAAGAATGTAACAATAACTGAAATATCGTGATATCGTATCGTCAGAAGTCTCACAATAATATTGTGGAATGTCACAATATATATTTCTTTGTTTAAATACCTTGTTTCATAATAGCAACAGCTTATAAACATAGGAATCTACATATCTCATGATTCATTTCAGTGCAGACAATATGACGAGATATGTTTTTTACTTGAATTCTTGGGATAATGAATGTAATAATTCACACCAAAATCTTGTCAAAGTATTTTAAAAGCAAAAAAGTGTCCCATCTACAATTATATCCACCTTTTCAAACTTTCGCAATAAATATCGTTCCATGAGATGCATATCATGATAATATCGTACAGAGAGATTTATATATCATTGCATCCCTACTTAACAGTTTTGGAGCAGAGTTAGAAAACTCGGTAAACCCTGAGTTTAGCAGAAGGCACAACAGTTCATCAATGGATCCCAGATAAGGGGATTCACCATGGCAACAGTAAACCCATAGACCCATGGGTAAACCATAGGAGGTTTTCATCTTAGTCATGTGACTGTTGAATAGTGAGGTTTAATATAAAATAAATGTGGAGGAATATGTTGTTTAATCAATTCATAAGATTTTAGCAGGAAGATAAATAAGATAAGATTACTCAAAAGGAACAAAGTGTTGTTGAAGCTTTCCTAGCACATGAAGCACATAACACCATTACCACTGAACTGTTTTAAATTACAATTTTGACATAAAATTTCAGATTTTGAATTGAATTTCCATTTCTTACTCATCTCAGAGACAGCGTATTTCTCAATTCCCAGGATTCTTCCTCCAAAGACAACTTTGTAGCACTCCTCCAGAATCGGCTCCTCCAAAGCAGAGCCAAAACACTTTGGCCACATCTCATTTCTCTTTCTTTGCTTCCTTCTTCTTGATTCCTCTCCTCAATTCTGCTGGAATGGGCGAAGAAGTCCCACTCACAAAGGAGACAGGAAGGAGAGACACAGGGAGGAGAGAGGAAGGAAGGCAAGGATCGTCTTGCGGTCTCTGAGCAGTGAAGCCACAAAAAATGCACACAATTTTGGAGATTTTAAAAATTATTTATTTATTTATATTTATAATGTGTATTTCTCACCTTCCACGGTGGTTGGTCTCTCACTCTCATTCAGCTCGGCTCCTCTACCAGAGGCCTGGGAGCCTGAGAGTTCTGTGCAGTATCTTTTCTGTTCCTAATACTGCACTTTTCTGGACTGAGATGTCCGTTGTTTTTCCTGGTATCTGTTGTAGCCTCTTCCAGTTTGGGGGTTACAGCCCTAAGTGCTCCGATCACCACAAGCACCACTGATGCCTTCACTTTCCAGGCTCTCTCCAGCTCCTCCTTGAGCCCCTGGTATTTCTCTAGTTTCTCGTGTTCCTTTTTCCTGATATTACCATCGCTTGGTATTGTGATGTCCACCACCACGGCTCTGCTCTGTTTCTTCTCCACCACCACTATGTCTGGTTGGTCCATCACCATCCTGTCAGTCTGTGTATATATATATATATATATATATATATATATATATATATATATATATATATATATATATATATATATATATATATATATATATATATATATATATAAGTCATACACACTTCACACCATAGATGTAGTAAAATTTAGTAAATGCTTTGTGAAAGCTGTAGTGGCAGGGTGCTCTCACCAGGGGGAGCTGCTCCTCGGTGTGCAGGAGCTTGTCTGTCTTGCCTGTCTCCACCGACCTGTTTGTGCCCGGCAAATCAGCGCCATCTCTGGTGAGTGATTTTAGTGGAACAGAACTATGAAAATTTCCTAATTGGACGTTTTAAATAGTTTCGTGTCTCGTGTGAATAGTTTTGCAAAATACTCAGAAGTTTTACCAGATTTATGAAAAGTTTCAGTAAATGTGCCAAAGTGAAAAAAAAAAAAAAAGTAGTATTATCTAAACTAAAGAGAAGAACTTTCCTGAAAATCAAACTATAGTGTGATTTCATCAGATTATAAGACTTCATGGTAACATAAAGAAAGTATTATTATATTGTGCTGAAAATGACATTATATAATAAATGATTTGTCTTACCTTGTGGTAACGGGTTGAATATTGAGTGAATTCCTTAATGTCAAGATTTTAATATTACATAATACAACACTACCCAGGATGTGTATTTGGCTTGAAAGAGTTCCAGTTCAGAGGACATGAAGTAACTCCAAAACATGACCACATTGTTATGTCTTTCATTCTGCATCAGTAGTAGCCTCTGAATACACTTCATATACCTTTCCTACTCCTCATGTTGAGTGATTACGTGGATCACAGCCTGACACTCATGACTTCTATGTCATTTCTAGAGTCACTTATGTGACTCACATTCACAAGGAAACACTTCCTCTGGACCTCTGGCCCGGCCCCTGCTGTGGGAACAGAGCCCAGCCCCCACTGCACAAAAACATACAAACAAGAGTGTGTATCCTCTGGATCTTATACACCTCTGTTTCACACTCTGTGCATCCTCTGGACCCTGCACTCCACACTGTGCATCCTCCATACCCTTATTCTTTTAGGCTTCTTTTAGGCTCGGCCCCTATTGCTTTGGGAGCAAACCCCGGCACTCACTGCACAAAAACAGACACTATCTATTCTCTGTACCCTACCTTCTCTGTCCCATACGTTCCATCCTCTGTACCTGATACTCCACACTGTGCATCCTCTGGACCCTACTTCCTCTGGTCCTCACCCTTCATCCACTGTACCAAACACCTCTGCTCCACACTGTGCGTCCTCTATACCCTTCCTCATCTGGACCTCTGTCCTCAGCCCATGCTGCCGTGGGAACTGAGCCTAGCCCCCACTGCACAAAAACATACTGACTGACTATAAACACTGTGCATCCTCTGTACTCTATACTGCCCAACACCATAACTGCATGTTTGGTCAAAAATTAGTTAATGTAATTTTGTTTTGAGACCTCTTTATCATGTAAATAAATATGTGAAAAATATTGAGCTCAGAATTGACATTTGACCTATTTGTCAGTTCCTGATCTCTGCCTTTATATCATGAGCCAAAAATAAGGAGTTGTTTAAAGGCCAAAGGAAGTAACACTATGTGTTTTGTTTATGATTTAGTTCATAAATAAATTTTATTTTAAAATCCAACCTCTCACCTCCTTTTTCTTGCGGCCTTGGCGCAGGGTCTTAAAACTTTCAGTAAATAAATCTTTGTATAAAAAAGTTTCAAAAGGAGCGTTTCCTGGAAGTCCAGAGGATAATACACAGTATATAGAACTTAGTGGTACTCTTTGAGGAGGGAAGTCAACTTAAAAATGCAAAAAATCCAAGGCACTCACTGGTTAAAATAAAATGCCTTTATTAATTTACGTCTTTATGGACAAACTTACAAAGTCCAGACAAGTTTCAGCCCATGACTTTCCCCTGAGGAAAACATACCTTTGTATTCAATTATACTTAAATTATCTTTTTCAAAGATAATTGAAGTATAATTGAAAGTATTTGTATATGAAAGTATTGTGTGTATTTCTTCATACTGTACACACTGTACTGCAAAGTCACTTGTGTTAAACTGTTTCACTCTGTAAGTGTCACGATCCTGATCAGCACTAAACAGGAAATCCAAAGCTCTTCTACATCAGTTCACACAAACACATGATGATTCAACCTTGGTGAGGTGTTTTTCTTATAATGGATGGAAGTCTGGAGAAAATCAAATAATCATGTCAGTTTCTGCCTTTGGCCTTTGCACAAAAACTTATTTTTGGCTCATCATACAAAGGCAAAGAACAGGTCATGACAAATAACGTCAAATGTCCATTTTGAGATCAATATTTTTTTTATAATAACTAGTTGCCAGATTTTGGGAGTCCTACCTATTAGTCTGGACAAACTGAATCTTTAAAGTCGTTTTTCTCAGTTTCACACTGTGGCGAGTTAAGCTCTTTTGCCTTTGTAGGGAAGTATAGTCCACACTATAGAGAACGAAAACATAAATACTGTCCACTGGACACATACTGATCAAATCCATTTCACAGCTCATCCAAGTTTTCAGTTCTGGTCAGACACTGGTGGACACTGTCTCATATCTGTCTGAATTAGGCAGCTAACTACACCGAAACTAACCCACCTACTTATTTAACGACTTTAGAAGAGAATGTTACAGACGGGACTCCTTTGTGGATAGTGCGGAACAGATCTTACCCAGAGGAAAGAAATGGTTTAAGAGCGGAGTTAAAAAGGCTATTTTTGCTTGGCCTGATTCATCAGCTCGTTTTACTTCATTTCACTTTCACAGACCGTCTGACCTGAGCCTTAGATTTCGTTCGCTTAATGGTAGGCGGGGACTTTTTATCATTTAACTAATCGCTGCTATTTGGTCGTGACTTATGTAATGCGCTGCTAACGGGGCTAATTGGTATATTAAGCTTTTCCCAAATCCCGAAGGAAAAAGGACAATAACGTCTTTCCCCTTGATGAAATTCACCAAACATTCTCTTTATTCTGGCTTTAAATCCTCCATCTCTCATTGACAACACTGAATATAAGACTCTTCACTGATTGGCTGGTGCCTGAACTTGCACTTCCGGGGTTTTTTCAAACCATCTCGTGCTGCGGTCGGGAATCAGGTGAGGCTCTTTTGATGATTGCGTCTGGCTCGCATATAAAACATAAAATATTCTCAGTTGTTTTAGGCTACGTTTACACACAGTCAGGTATTTTGAGAAACGAATATTTCCCTCCCTCCGTTTTCCAAAATAACATCGTGCAGCATCGTTTTCTAAAATGTTTTCGTTTACGTCGACCCACACAAATACTCCATCGAGCGCCGTCAGAACTACACCAAGACTCTGAGCGCAGCTGGATTAGACTCAAAGTGAGTGGGCTCGCCTCTCCACAGATCTGTTAAAGAAGTGGCAAAATCACTGACCTCCGAGCCCTTGTTCATCTCTGCTCATGGACATGATCCATCAGCTGTGTGTGCAAATGCAAACACATGAAAAGTAGATGAGCTGCAGCGGGGAGTGGTGTCTGGTGCCTCCACCTGAGAAGTGCTTTCCCCAGGAAAAAAAACCAAAACAAAAACATGTGCGCAGACGGACCGCTCAGAACAACATAACAAACCAAACGAGATTCATGCCTCTGTCTGGATCCTTCGCACCACCTTGAAACCAGCCGCGGTCGAGCGCAGAGGACCGGAGCAGCCCGCCCGGACCTGTGGTCCACAGCGCATTCTCACTTTCCCCAAACGGAACCAGCGCACAGATGACGCACTGAAGCACTCGCACCTAGTTCTTTGCGCGAGCTGGTCTTGCTCATCCCCGTCTGGAACCAGGACATGGAGGACGAAGCCTCTAGACCGATCAGACCAACACTGGACCCCCAGACCTGTCTTGAGAAGCTGCGCGCTACGGTGACTGCTCCCGTGTGTGGCGCTGTTACCTGAACTCAGAGCTTCTGCTCCGGGCTGATGTGCGGTGAGTTTGTACAAAGTTCTACATGCTGCTGTTTTATGAGTTCATGGTGATAAATTGAGATGAGGCCCGCGGTGTTAACAGGGAACATAGATTCCTTTTGCAATTGGAGGAACATTGGGAACATCAGTCTGACCCTGTCCAGGTCCGTATGGGACGGCATCTGGACTACAAAGCCATCAGCAAATCCATGCAGCACCAGAAGTCGCATTACTGGTGAGTATTATAACAACATTATTTTAAAAAATAAATTCAGAGGCTTATTATCCTCCCATTTAGTTGAATTCAGTCTTAAAATATATGATACGGCTCTCACTGAAATACATTTTTTAATATTTTGCTTTCGTGGCTCTCTGAGTGAAAAAGGTTCCCGACCCCTGCTCTGTACCCTGCTCTCTCTGCTCCAGCTCTAGTGTGTATCCTCTATGGATTCACACTGACATCAACTCCAGCCCGTTTGTGTGTGAACACAGGACTGGACACATACACACTGACACACTCACACACATGACATAAATACATACAAGTGCACACACACATAACACGTACACACACAAGTGTGCATATGTACAGACAGACACACACGGGGAGTGCAGAGCGTCCGTGAAGTCAGTGCTCCTCTGACCTCTCCGCTCTCAGGAGCATGGGAGTGATTAGGTCCCACCTCAGTAAACTGTGGCTAATTAGCTGCAGTCAAAGCTCATTTTGCGAATGCTCGCCAATTCTGAGCCCAGGAAGCCTTTTGAGCTCAGGACTAAACTGGTGAGAGCTCATGTGGTTTTGTTTGCGAAGAACAATGAAGCTTTATTGACAGGATTTAGGCCCTGTACCTGTTTTTCACCGTCTTAAAAGTATGAAAAACAGAACTTGATTGTAAACAGTTTGCAGTGGTCCAAAGTTATTCCTCACTTACCTTATGTATTCCACACCTCCTAATTATTCACCAGAAAGATGTCATAAGTTTATCTTTGAGAGGTCAAAGCAGCTTATACAATATTGGAGAAAGACATTTTTTTGCTAAAATACATGGGGGAAAAATCAGTCCAGAGCCTTTAACACACAATTTTATATATTTTTTATATTTTATTACTTATCTTTCTATTTTATTTTTACTTGCACATTTACATTTATATAATTATGTCTTTAATTATGACACCTGTCTCTTGCTATAATTTTTTGCTACTGATTTAGAATTATTTTACCATTTATTGTGATCTGTGAGCTACTGGGTCCAAATAATTTCCCTTGTGGATAACTAAAGTTTATCTAAGTCTAAATCTAAGTCAGTAGACTCTTCTGCTAGGTAATTCAAATTTCACCATAGGGACAAATAAAGTTTCTATTTAAATCATACAGGCAGATGGACATGACATGACTTTATTTCTCAATCTAAATTTGCACTGTGTAACTTTTCTAGGGGGGGCTATGCCACCTTTTGTATCCATGGAGATGACATTGTTTTGCCACTCTGCAGTAAAGTTACATACTGTATCTTTAGCATTTATTATAGATAATTTTTATTGTCAAGTTGATCTCTGTTTGGAGCACATTTTAAATCAACAATCTAAGCTTTAATGACATATACCAGAAGGTCAGCTAAACAAAATCAAAATACATACAAACAGCAAGAGTTTGTAACATACTACACAAACTGCACAGTCCTTTTCTCTTTCACAGCACAGCGCAGATTTCATCTAAAACAATCAACTCCTGTGGCAGCATCCTCTACTGGCTCAGTAACAGCTCATCCCTCTTCATTTAAAGGTCCTATACTAAGCAAAATCGACTCTTGTGAGCTTTAAGCCATGTTAGAATGCTTTACCTCCTCAAAAACATACTTGGAATTGTGTTTTGTTTCATCCACACATTTTTGAGTAACGTTGCATCATTAGTCAAAATGTTCTGTTCCAACTTGTGATGTCATATAATGGTAGTTTTCAAGTAGTTTCACAGCTACCACATGACATCACAAGGTGAAACAGTCTGTTCAGTTTGAGAGAAGAACTCAGCCTAAATATGCAAGGATTTGTGTGTTTTATATATGTGTGTGTGTGTGTGTGTGTGTGTGCGCGTGCGTGCGTGTGTGTGTGTGAAACAAAATAAAACTTCAACAAAACAACATTATAGTAGTCTGGGAGCCAAACCCCTCCACCGCAGTTGTTTTCCTACCTTTTCTTCCTGCCTTACTATTAATAAAAAAAAATAATAAAAAAAAGAAAATAGAAAACTTCCCCAATTTATCAGATTCAAAATAGCCCTAAGATGAGCTCTGTTTGTCCAGTGGATCACCTGCTATAACAGATATAATGTTCCACACCCCCAAACCGAACATGGAATTCTCAGTCTTTTGGCCATAAAATGTATATGGGGCCATTACATAGGAAACTGGCAAAAAACTGCAGGATAAAAAAATCAACATAATTTTCATGGATTTTATTCAAACTTTTCATGTTGATATATGAAACATTACCTATGTGAAATTTAAGTCTTGTATCTTTTAAAAAGTTTGAGTTTTGGGAGGTTTAAAAGGGAGTGTGGTCAAAATCTAATCTAGCAGAAAATAGTTTTTTTAGTCATTGCCTTTGGACTGTTTATGGCAGATTATTATATTTTATTTTATTCTTTTATAATCATTAAACCATGCCAAGTCGTTCCTATATTACATGCCTCAAATCTGTAAGATAGGGCCAATGTCATATGTATTTAAAACAACATCAGTGGAATTGTGAGACATGATCATTGACATAATTCAATTACAGTTCAATTGCTCATTATTTATTGATAAATAATGAAATGTACACTCATTTCTATGTATTTTCATTTCATGCGGTCGAAAGTAGAGCCCTGCAGTCCTGCGGTCCTCTGGTCCCGCGGGACCCGACGCAAACCTCTGCGACGCGGGACATATTTTGAAAGCTCGCTGCGGGCGGGAGTGGGGCTAAACAATGCGGGAGCAGGGCGGGAGGGATGATAAACTCCAGTCCCGCAAACTAAATATGAGTATAAAGTAAAATATAAAAAAGATTAATGTAAGTATATCATGCATAATTTGTGCTGGAGTTTTTATTTGGCATTAATACATTTTAAGCAGCAGACCGTCACCCTTCCCGTACAGCACGCGAACAGTCCCCCGCGTCCCTTACGCCGCGCGAACAGTACCCCCGCGTACACCGCGCGGACAGTCCGTCCTTCCGTACGCCGCGTGAGCAGTCTCTCACGCCCCGTACGCCGCGCACACAGTCCCTCCTTTCGTACCTCCTTCCGTACGTCGTGCTGCCTGTGCAACAAAACCAGAACTAAACCAGGCCTAAACCAGGTCTAAAAACAGCTCTAAATCCAGGACTAAACAGGATTTAGCCAGGACTTAACCATGCCGCCAGATCACCCACCGCACCTCCTCTCATACGCAGCCCAATTTCTTTCACTTCTCTGTGTTTGATAGAGTTTAAGAAAGCAAAGGTTCCCATCCTGCGGGACTTGTGGGCGGGCGCGGGACAAAATATTGCAGATGCGGGCGGGAGCGGGACTGAAAATTACAATTCTTTGCGGGAGCGGGCGGGCAAAATTCTGTCCCGTGCAGACCTCTAGTCTGAGGTACAGTTGGTGATAATGTTGTGTGACTCTTCATGTTATAGGGACGGGTGTTAAAATCCGCTATAAAAAACATTGCTAGCTACAAACATATCCATATTTTTTATATGTTTTGACTATACATGTCTGAGGTGATGTCAGTAGACTTGGACCAATTATGTTTTTTATTCACAAATGAAACAAAATAAAACAAAACAAACAAACAAAAAAACAGGATGTCCATTTGAACTAATGTTTTTTAAGCCTGTTTAGTTCAGATGACGACTCCATGTGCACACAGACTTTTCGACAGGATGAGTAGGATAATTAAAAAGCACTGTTGAGTGTTTTTAAGTTTTCAATCACAATCACAAAAGGGTTCTTGGGTCCTGAGACTGAACGGGATTGAGTTGAAACAAAAGATTCTGAACTCGTAATGTTCCGAGGGTGTGACTCATGAAAAATAATAGTAAGAAAAAGGAGGTAAATAATCACGGTGGAGGGCTCTGGCTCTCGGAATAGCATTGGGAATGGGACATATATATCAATATTGATGATATCGAAGGGTTTTCCCAGGTATCTTATGTTTCAAGTTTAGTCGATATTTGCCATTGGTATTTTGTCTAGGCTGCCTCAGTCTTTGTTTGCTCATGAACGGGAAGATGCATACAGACAAAGAAAGAACAAAGGCCAAAGAGAACACTGTTTCAACACAAAGTGGCCAAGACCCATAACACCAGTCTATCCTCAGTGCATCAGATTTGTATTTTTGATCAGAATGAGTGAAATGGAAGAGTAATTAGACTAAAATATAGCTGTATGCTTAAACATGCATGCAGTTTACGTTTATATCCCAGATAAATACATTTTGTTATTAGTGTCTATTGATACTTTGCAGCTGATGTCATCAACATACCCTGAGGGTGTGATACTAACCGTAAGAACTACTTTATTAGACTTTACGTAGGGTGGGGGTACTTTAATGTTGAACCTTTTTTGAACACAATCTGACCATTACGAACTGACTTACAACACATGAGCTGATTTGTGCTGTTAAACAAGTCCCTCTCAATTACAGTCACAAGCTAGTTAGCATTAGCCAACAGTTTTTCACTCTCACCTTTTTGTTGAATCTCAAAGTCTTAAACAGAACTATGGACACTTGTACTGATCACAGGTTCCTGAAAATGTATTGTTTTAATTTTTTAATTTTGTATTTTTTCCTCAGTTATAAAATTATTTTTGGCCTGGTTTGTGTGCATTGTCACCATGGTAACTGATGAATATTCCACCATTGTCTTATGTATATCGTATGTACACCCTTGGCGTGATGTCACTGCAAGGTATCAATGGAGTAAATTTGTGAGTTTGAAACATTAATAACCTGGTTGGGTTGTGGTTCACACCTGGGTTAGTTGCCATATCTGTGCAAAATACTTTTTAAGTGCATTTGAAAGCCAATACTAAATCTGTACTTAAGTAAAGTAAGTAAGCAAAGTATTCTTTCTTTTTACTGGTGAGGCCTCATAGAGACGTCATAGAGACCTCATGACTATCAGGACTTTCATACAGACTTAAAAACATTTAGGGCCATATCTTGCCCCCAGTCTTAGCGCTTAGCGCAAGTGTGGGGCGTGGAGTTTTACACCAGAGGTGTGCCGTGCCTCGTCAGGTGGAGCGGAGCAGATTGAGGGCAGGTGTGGCGCGTTTAGTGAATTGCCAGAATCATAAAAATAAATATCAAATGAGTTCACTGAAAAACAACATGTAACATGCTCAAGGCTTCTTTTATTTAGAAATATATTAGGATGATAAAAGCTTAACATTCATAACATGTTCGTGTGCGGGAGTCGTTCGGATACCCTCCCGCAGCAGAGCACAGCCCCTCGCCCGCTCCCTGTATCGGCTCAGCTCTGCTCTAGAGTTTGGTTTGATAGGGATTTGTACAAAAGCTGCTCATTCACATGAGGCCGTTTACAGTGATGTCCTAAAGTCTGTTTTCTTACTCTGTCTGTGTCCTAATGCTGTGATGTTGATTTCCTCATATTCTTGCGGCCAGACTCTGCGCGCACATGCACTGACAGCTCTGGGCTGTGACAGCTGTGCGCGAAGCGGTAACATCAGAAACATTTATATGACAATAAACGTATTCCATAATCCGCGAGACATTCACCTGTGTGGGACCAAATGCAATGGACCCAAGAGACGAGAATGTGAGCGGTCAGCAGTAGCAGCACTGGACACTCGTACCTCAGGTGAGTCTGTGGGAGTGGACTGCAACAGCGATGTACAGCCCCACCTGGACACGCCCACTTGCGCTTAGGCTAAGACTGGTGGCAAGATATGGCCATAATGTGTTATTTTGTATTTAAAAATAGTCAGTGCTAAGATGATATAGGATCATGTTTATCATCTCACCAAGTACCTGTCTTAGTTGTGCATTTTCTTCAGCTGAGGCTTTAGTCCAAGCTAAGAATTAGTTTCTGACTTTATCAGCTACTTGACCCAATATCCAATCTATTTGTCTACTGATCATCAGCAGTGTAAGGGCTTTAAAGACACATGATCATTTCAGAGATACAGTTCTCCCTTCAGAGGCAGCCCCTGCCTGCTTGTGCGCTGAGCCCAGTGCAGGGTCACTGTCAGGCTGTGTGTGTGGAACTGAAACCTGCTCTGGAGTGTGAGGGTCTGGGCAAGTAACTTCACATGATCTCCCCTCCACCTCCAGGCCAGGCTTGGTCCTTCTCCTCCTCACACACACCAATGTCCCGGTGAGCACCGCCAGCCCGAGCAGCAGGGCCAGAGCAGCCAGTGCAGGCTCCAGGTTGCCAGACTGTGGGCCCGGTGTGGTGAAGCGTGGCTCCTGAGGGCTGAGAGGGGCCCCGGCCGTGCGTGCCTCTGTGCACGACACCATCTCCCCCGAGGAGTTCCAGCGCTGGATCTTCTCCACTAATGGACTGGCACAAACAGAGTAGGTGCAGTTTGGACGCAGGCCTCTCAGTGTGTACTCAGGGTAGGAGGCAGGCACTCGCAGGATAATGGGCCGGTGGTCAGGGCCGGACAAGTTGCGGTAGGTAAGCCTGATGCCACGGATATGTGGCTGAGTCTGGATGAAGCGGTGCAGGTCCAGCAGAATGGAGGTAGCAGTAACATGGCGTGAGCTGATGGGGACCACCACAGGCACATCTGTGGACCAAGGCTTTAGAGGGTCCTCTTTGGTCTCACAGTACAGGCCAGCAGTCCCAGGCAGACACCGGCAGCCCCTCTGCCCCAGTGGGTCCACCTGACACTGCCCCCCATTCTGACAGAGCCCAGGACACTGGGTCTGGTCACTGGTTTGAGGGGACTGAGAGGGGGCTATGGATGAGGGGTTACTCACTCGCAGCAAGGGGCTGGAAGTGGCATTTTTGTGTGCTGTGTCTGGATATGTAGTCATATGACCAACCAAAGTGCTTTGAGAAAATGTACTGGCTCCCACTGTACTGGTGTGCAGACAGCCAAAGTCCTTGTATTCTAGTTCGGAAAGCATTTTCCCAGCATTAACCAGAGGAAAGTGGCATCTGGTCTCCTCTGGCCTCCCAAGGGTTAATGTCTTCTCTCTGAGCCACACAGAGAACCAGGCCAGAGGACATAAGCAGTTGAAGGGGTTCTCTGCTGCTTTGAGGTGCACCAGCCGGGGGAAGTTGTCCAGGAACCCCTGGGGGATACTCTGAAGGTTCAGTCCACTCAGGTCCAGCTCCTGGAGACCATTGAGTTTTTGGAAGTCCTCAGCCTTCAGCTCTCTGAGAGGATTGCCAGCCAGGTTCAGCCTAATGAGCCCCCGGAGGTTATCCTGCCTTAATGCCAGAGGAACCTCAACCAACTGGTTCATAGAGATGTCCAAGTAATGCAAGTTTTCCAAAGAAGCAATCAGGTTTGTGTCTAAAGAGGTTAGGCCCAAAGAGGAGACCTTGAGGGCCTCAAGGTGAGGAATCTGCAGGTCAGATGGTCCCAGAGTAGGAATGTTGTTGTGACTGAGGTCCAGAAGCAGGAGTCGAGGAAAGGAAAGAGTTGGTAGAGAAGTGAGCAGGTTTTCATGGAGTTTAAGTTCTAGTAGGTTATGCAAACTATCAAATGCTCCAATCTGAATGATCTGAATCTGATTTCCATAGAGATAAAGGCGCTCGAGCTGAACTAGCCCTGAGAAACTGTCTTTGGAAATGTGACTGATCTGGTTGGAGGACAGATCCAGGTTCTTCAGCTTTAGGAGCATCTCAAAGACTCCATCAGGAACCTCGCTTAGCTGGTTCTGACTCAGGTCCAACATTTGGAGCTGGCCCAGATGCTGAAAGTCCTCCGCACTCAGAGTAGAGATGCCGTTGTTGAAGATGTAGAGCTGCTCCGTGCTGGAGGGCACTGGGGGCACAGTGCTGGAGCGGCGCGTGAAGCAGAAGACAGAGTCAGGTGAGGGACAGGAGCAGTTTTCTGGACAATCTGAGGACAGGGCCCGGACACAGAGGAGCAGGAGGAGCAGCGCAGAGGGCAGCATGTTGTGACAGCTCCTATGGGGCAAAATACACAGGAAAAAAGTTTATTTTCTTGCTTCATTTTGTTGACCTATTAACATGCATATACAATATCTTATTAGTATTTAAGTAAACTAGATATCAGTCTAATCAGGCTTTATCACTATATGAAAAAAATCACAATTTGAATGAAGACAATTGGGAAATCATTAAGACCGCAGTTTCTGAGCTACCATCTTTTCCTCCACAACAAAATATCTTGTCTTATTCTGCATAAAAACTGCTAACCCTAGTTTAGATCTGTACAAACATACTCTAAAATGTTATTCTTGTTTTAGGTTCATATTTCAGTTTTATCAGTTCTTCTAGACGCGGTTAAAATGTCAACTTTGTATAGAATCCTATTATTAAAACATAACACACAATTGCAATTTTTGTCAGAAAAATCAATTTATATATATATATATATATATATATATATATATATATATATATATATATATATATATATATATATATATATATATATATATATAGTTTGTTTGTTTTTCCCAAAAAGACTGGTACTGACAGTTACTTCATATTTTTTTTAACAGGTATTGTTACTATATCAAAGGAAAATGTAATTCTGTTAAGTTCCAAAATTAAAAAAAAAGCTTTATCAGTAAGGACAATGTGATTATTTAAGTCTGTCCTATGGCGTGAACTGAGGGATAGTTGAATGAATCTAATTTCTAATCTAATTTTGATATGTCTTACTGTAAACATCTAGGGTGTGTTAGTTTCAGTGTTCAGTTTCAGTATTTGGGACAGATAAAAGTGCAATGCCTCACCAGAACCCTGTAAGAACTGAAAAAGCTAACCTATTTGAATGAGTAGCAAATAGGTTTGTCAGAAGTACTGAAAACCAGATACTATACTAGAACTACTATTAAAACAAGATACTTGAGCAGGTATTGATGCTTAAAAAAGTCCCATTCACAGGACAGAAATGAACCTTTCCTGGATAGCTTTAGAATGATGTTAAGTATCAGAACAAGTAGAAGAGCACATAGTGTACACCCATGGACCATTATGGAACCTCCCTGGACCACTGAGGGATTACACACATATAAGACCACAAATACTGCAGTTTAAAGTTGAAAATCATTGTTAATAAGAAAATCATCTTTTTTTAATCATCAAGGTATCAGAATCTGAATTACGTATCAAGGCTATTCCTTAATATCAAACTCATGTTTGCAATGTTATTATCATGGCAAACAAATTCACCCTCAAAACCTTTTGTCCATCTTACTCTTTTGCCATGGTCCCTACTGAGACAAATGAGAGATTACACAGACAAGTTTTAAAACTAAGTATCTCATTCAGACTGGAACCTTTCCTGTATAATGTGGAATAGTCATGGTCTATATCAGAATAATAATACATTTGTGCTGACAGACACAAAATGATTTTCCATTTTTGCCTGTTTCCTGCTGATAGGGTCAGTGATTATAATCATAACTATAAACCCATTTAAAGGTGAGCTACAGTCGAGGACAATATTGTTGGTACCCCTTTGGCAATGGAAGAAAAATCAACAATAATCACTGAAATAACTTGAAACTGATAAAAGCAATAATAAATAAAAATTTACTCAAAATTGTCCAACAAAAATCAAACATTGTTTTTCACCTGTGGTTCAACAGAATTATTAGAAAAAACAAAATAATGAAACTGCGTTATTAATACAAGCAGATCAATAAATATCCCTTAAAACATGTTTTTGCCAGTTTAAACATTTTGAGAGTTCAGGGCAAGTTACCACAGGACCAGTTATGCAGTTTGATGTCAAAATGAATGCATGTCCTACTTGTCCCTACTGGCCAACCTTGAAAAATGCCCATGTCAGTAATATATGTTTTGGTTGGAACCCCCTTCTTAAACAGAGGGACCACCACCCTGGTCTGCCAGTCCAGAGGTACTGTCCCTGACTGCAATGCGACGCTGCAGAGACATTTCAGATTTCTCCAACTCTAGGAGTCACTAACCATTAACCATTTTCCTTGGAGTCACTGCAAAAATCACAAAAAGTCACACATTAGGATTTTATGTTGTGTTTAATGTGTGAGATAAGGAGTTTAGAGGAAAAAGGGCTAGTTTACTTGAATTCTGGCTGTATTCTTAGTCTGCATTGGCAGCATTCTGGCATGGCTGATCTAAAATACTTCTACATTTGTAGCCACTTATACAGAACAGACCTGCACTGTGACAACTGCATTTGCTTGTCGTACTTGCATCTGCAGGTACCCATCAAGTTGCATCTTTTTGGGATTGCATCAGTTTGGGTTCCAGGTTTCCATTGATTATGTTCCATCCCATTTCCTCCACAGGTAGAACTGGATTTGTTCTGTTCGATTGTCTCCGTACTCGAGCTTGGTAATGTTTCTTCTAATAGGCCATGAGCAGCAGCACTTTAGGGGGCAGAGCCTCAGGTCCCTGACGTCTGAAAAAAAGAGTGGCTCTTGTGTCTTTGCGGCAGTAGCTCAGTTGGTCAGAGTATTTGTCCACTGATCTGAAGGTTGACGGTTTGAATCCCGCTCTCGACATAAACATCATTGGTTGAGCGGTCAGATTCACTGACCCACAGATTGGTGGTGCAATTCCACTTCCCACAGGTGAATGCTGTCGTGTCCTTGGGCAAGACACTTAGCCTGCCTCACCCCCTCAGTAACATTTACTGAAATGTTGTGATATAAAACAGAACAGTGGCCTATATTCTCAATAAAGAATGAAAGCTGTCGATAGCAAACAGAGATAAATGACTTCCAGAAATAAAAATGAGTAGTCACCTAGAATCTAAACCTAGTAGTAATCTGAATCAGGAATTTGTTTCATTTCTGCGCATCAAATGAAGGAAATGAAGGACGCTAGCTTTAAAAAGCTGCAGTATAGCCTTGTTTTTATTTCAGTATGCTAATGTCATGTGGTGACTTCTATCTTAGTTATAATATTTCCCTGATATATTTACAGTATACTGGTATTTGTTTTCTGGACTTTTCATGAAATCCATTCAATTAAAGACAACTTTAATTTGATTAGCTTGACGTCTATGCTATTATGCTAATTAACATTCTTAAAACTCAAAATTCAGCTTGGTAAACAAAATATTTAGAGTCAGCTCCTCAAATTATGGGAAATAGCACAGTTACCGACTTTTCCTCAAATTTGCCGCTAACACTTTTTCTGAACATATTTCTATTCTCAGTCTATATGACTTTGTCACTTCATATAAACGATGCACTGGTCAGGATACCATGGCTCATCATGGCAAACAGCACTCTACAAGGATAGAAAGTCACATTAGAATTTAAAAGTTAGCGTCTGTCACATGTTTAACAGTCCAGTACTGTGCAAAATATTAACTCATAAATGTCCCAAATGACATAAAAAGTGTACAATTGGGCAGTGATCATATAATGAATAACTAAAGAGAAATACCAGATTTTTAACAACAGAGTTAAAATCAGTGACCCACCTCGTGCCCGTGTCTCATGAACTGATCTATGAGTAACTTTTTAAAGACACTGTACCTTTCATACTACTTTTCTATCAGAATACTTTTACTCCTACTTGAGTAACATTTTCATTTATATAACAGTATTCTTACTTGAGTAAAGATTTTAGTAATTCTTGTCACTTATAGACTTACTGTGTAAGTCTACAAGTGACTAAAGCTTTATTTTGACAATATGAAATGATTTGAACATTTGTGTTTCTTGCAGTGCTCCTTCAGATATGATTTTGTATAATTTAGTTTAATTCTCGTGTGAAAAGAAACAGATTTCATACCTTATTTAATGTTACATTAACTTCATATTATAAATCAGATATTACATCCCAACAGTTTGTGCTATATTGCGCAAAAATGACTCTTGTCAGCTTTTAGCTCCGAAACATATATTGTGTTTTGTTTCATTTACCTGTCTACATCTCCAAAGCTCAAAATGCTCTGCTTCATGTTGTGATGTCATAAGGCAGTCATTTTCAATTATACTTCCTTGAATAATTCTTACTACTTTGAACTTCTATTGGATTTAACGTTATACTGATTTGATTTAATTCTTACTTGAGCACAGTTTTTGCCTACTGTACCCATCTCCACTAAAATATAAAGAATAGAACTATATTTTTAAAAAGGGGAAAACCCCAGATCTGAAGGTTGTCCATAGAGTGTGCGTCAGAAACAATACGCCCTGAAGTTGGCCTTGCACATTCCTACTGCACAGCTGGAACTGTTTACCCATGATGCACTGCAGCTCCTCGGAGCGTGGGAGGGTGGGGGCGGGAGATAAGAGAAGTGGACTCGGAGGGGAAAAAAATAGTACAGATGTAAATTTGAGCAGGTTTGGTTCATGATGGTTCTAAACATTATAGAAGGCATGAGCAGAGTAGCCAGAAAATTAGTAACTCAAAGAGTAACTACTTGAAGTTAGAGGTCAGATCCACTGACCCACAGGTTGATGATGTGATTCTAGCTCTCACAGATGAATGCTGTCGTTGTGTCCTTAGGCAAGACACTTAACCCACCTCACCCCCAGTGTCTGTGTACCCTATTTGTATGAGTTTGTGTGTGAATGGGTGAGTGGTTCCTTGTTGTAAAGCGCTTTAATGTGACCTTTTACCATTGTAACTGGAAGGACAAAACATTAATTAATGCACAAAATGTGGTATTTTCAAAGGAAGGACATAGAACTGAAACAAACCTAGTGTATAAATAATAGATGTGGCGTGTCCAGAATTATTCATGCCCTTTGCAAACTGTCAGAGTCTATGGAAAAATCCAAAGTTCTATACCATTCCAAACAGCACAAGCTGTTCTAAAACTTCCTAATTCCCTTAATTCATTGGGAAGAGCTGTTTTAAACAACTGAACAGGTGAAAAACAGCAGGTGTTTGCAGTTGGTTTGTGAACAGTCATGGCTAAGACAAAGGAGCTCTCTGAGGATCTACGGCTGCGTATTGTGGCTGCTCATAAGTGAGGAAAGGGCTAT